GCTCTGCTCAGCCACAAGCCAGGCTGATGGCTGCCAGTACAGCAGTGGTGGTGAGAGCCTCTCCCACCTCCTCAGCAGCGCTAAGGTTGTCCAACTGCAGCTTAAGCCTGCTCCTCGCTGACAAGTGGATATCCCCCGAGGGCTCCCGGGCTGCCAGAAGAATGTCTGATTACTAGCTTAGGCCCATTCCCCCGGGGAGCAGGCCTAAGCCAGCAGGTGGTCATCCCCCGAGAGTCCCAGACTGTGAGAGGGCACAGGCCGGACTGAGGGACCCGCACCCCTCGAGTGCGCAAATTTTTTGTGCACTGGGCCTCTAGTGTTACATAAACTACAACCCCACCTTCTCATCCTTTCCCTCCTCTTTCCCAGGCATAAGCACTCTCTTGTAGGGGAAGGGTCTATCTGGTACTTCTTATCTTCTGCTTGTATTCATAATTGATATGTTGTGTAGTTTTATATTTTAAAATGTACAGAAATGGGTCATGTTTTTGGAAACAGGCTTTTATTTTAAAAAAAGAACTCAACTCTTTTATGGTCTGCTTTTTGCTAGTGTTGGTTTGTCACGTCTCCCACGTCTCCCCTCCAGGCCCTAACTACCTCTCCTAGCAGGTGTCTCTCTAGCTGTCTGCTCTAACAGTTTCTCTGCGGAACTATTAATACAGAACATGGAGCTGCTGGCTCTAGGGCGAGGGCATCTTTAATGATCATGGAAATTGCCAGGTTACTCATCTCAGTGGTTATGCAAATCCACATATCTGTCCATGAAAATAAAATTCGTTTCCCAGCTTCTCACCACCCTTGGTGATATACCACATCCCTCGGTGCTATAAATTCCTGTTACCCACAGTGAACTCACTGAATAAAAATAAGAAGAAGACAGCATGATGTTGTATTGACAGCAACTAACTCTTCATGATTCATTTTTATTATAGCATTGTGCAGGCTTTGGGGCAAGCATGTATTAGGTTGACACGTCTCTCCTTAAAAAGCCCCTTGGAATTTACTCTCTTGTAGGAGATTTGAGCCCATCTTTTTCAGTAACTGAGAGAAAAAAGTGGTCAGTGAGGATATAGGACATGAACCATGTCCTAGAAGCTTGATGAACAGACCTGCATATTATATTGTAATACAGTTTTCCAAGCACACATGCCTAAGTGGGCTGTGTGTCTCCTGTCTGCCCATCATCTCACAGCTCCCACCTCCACGTCCACCTGCCCTCCCTCACCTGTGTTCCTTCATGGTCCACTCTACATGAAAGGGCTCTGAGTCCCTCTCCCCAACAGCAGGGATGGGGAGGGGAGGCTGAGTTCCCCACAGACAGCCCAGCAGTGGTGTTCTTAGGGGTGGGGGTCAGGGAGGACCTCACACTCCCACCTCCTGGGTCCTGATCTGGAGTTGATGGCCAGGACACTGCCTGCTCCTTCAGGTCCTGAGAGAACCTGTGACATGGAAATAACACATCTCTCCTAATTTTTCCAGGTAGGACACTTCTTGAAATATCCCAGGGGACCCATCTCCCGCTGTGGAAGGCCCAGTCTGGAAAGTTCCACAGCAACTCAGGCCGTTCCACTTGAACAGATCCTGTGACAGGACCTTTAAGGTTATAGGCTCATGACCATTTTTCCTAGGGCTACACCTGGGGCAGGGGCAACTGGGCCCTGAGATTCCAGTCTACACAGTCCACCCCTCTCCCCAATGATGGACCCTGGGGTTGTTTCCGGGTCATGAGTCTATGCCTTCATACCCTCGCCAGTGTGAGGATCCTCCTGGGGACTCTGATGTCCGCTCCAGTAGCTCAACCCTGAACAAATCTAAAGAGTATTTGAGGGCTGGAGCAGGAGGTGGAGCCAGGACTCTAGCATCTTGGATTAACCCCTGATGACAGATGGGGAAGTCCAGTCCTTGTGCCAAGGCAGGGACTCTGAGGCTGAGACAGAAGCCTCCCTCCAGTGGCATCTATAAGGATGATACAGAAGCCAGGCCGGTATCCAGCTCTGCCTGTCTGCACCCTCACAGATGCTTCATACACATGGTTAAATGGATGTGGGACACCACACAACTGAAGCATGTCACCCTGTGTGACACCTGGGGTCAGAGCATGTTCCTGTAGTCCAGGGCCTGGTGTCAGCATGGGAGGAGGGCAGCAAGTGCCCACAGCTGTCCCAGGGATGAGCCATTACCCTCGTACAGTCAGGAGGGAGGACAGGGCTCTCCTAACAGCGGGGGGTCTTGGGACAGCATGGAGGTAACATCTGGGTTCCATCTTGACTGAAAGAAGTCCATCTCCGAGGCCTGACGGGACTCCTTGCTTTCAGTAAAATTACGGAGTTGAAGTTAACCGAACCGCATCCTTAAAGGAAAGAATGTAGGATGATAACATCCTTTCCTGACATCCTGTTCAGCAAAATAGTTTTTTTGTCAATTAAATGGTAGCTAGAATGTTTGCACAAGCATTATTCTACAGGCCCTTTGGGTGGTCCACTGACCATGGGAAAACCCTGGACTACCCCTGGACCAGCTGCCACCAGATGAGGCTCATGGGACAGCTGACCTCATCCTCATGCCCAAGCCCTGCACCCACCCCAAGGCCCCCATATAAGCCACCCACAGGAACCCCTCGGGGAGCTCCACCTCTCTTTTCTGGTTGATTCCCTTGTGCAAAAGCTTTTTTTTCTTTTCTTCAATAAACTCTATCTGCTTGATATTGTACTGGGTTCAGTGCTCAGTTCTCATACTGAGACTCAAAGACTGGGCATTCAAGGTCCTGTAACATCCTGACCCCCATTCATGTCCAAAATATCACAGTCCTCCCCATCCCTACCATGTGAGGTGATGTCTTGTCTCCCCAGGACACGGGCAGCAGCCTGTATCCTTCCTCTTCTCACAGAGCCCTGACCTGGCAGAAATCCCAGGCGGAGTTACTACCATGGGAAAAGGGAGCCCACCCTGACCTCAAAGGAATCAGGGGATGACTCCCATCCCCAAGGTCCCTGGTCTATGGGACACTTTCCGGTGGTCCCTGAAGACATCTCACCAGCCCACGATGTCCTGGGGAACAAGGGGGAGTTCCCATGCAGGATGGGACAGGAGAACCCAGGACCTGGGGGTTCTTCCATCTCAGAGGTGCTGAGGGTACCACGGGGGCCTCCTTTCCCCTAACAGAGGAACTCGCAGAGTCCCCTGGTTGACACTCCACATGGAGCTGCTCCAGAACCTGGGCCCTGTGGGGAGGCCTAGAGCAGATGACAGACAGGGACACAGATGACTTGGATGCAGTGACCCAGTGCTGTGATGGGGACACGCAGGGCATTCTCAGGATCAGTCCTTCAGGCTGGCACACTCTCCTGTAAGCCTCAAGAGACCCCTCACCAGGCCTTTCCTTGGAAATCTCGGGGACAAGGAGCTCCTCGTAAAACAGCATATTCCCCTGGGGTACAGTTCTCATGACACTGGATCCGGACTCCTCTGGACAACGCCTGTCCTCTCCCTGCGCTCACCCTGCCCTGGGTGAAGTCAGGCAGCCTGAGACCCACCGTGACTGGCCACTCAGCCTGGAGGTCAGAGCCCACCTCTCCCAGGCCTCAGGGTCAGCTCACAGCATCTGGAGCCTGGTCAGCAGCCCTGGCGCTGTCCCTGACATTGGCTGCAGGTCTCCTTCATGACCTCCAGGTGGCAACATGGAGACACACAGACAGCACACCGGAAATGCACACATGAACCTGGCTTTGGCTAAGGAGGTGCAGAAGAAGCTGATTTCCATCCCCTGCTCCATCAGGCCCTTCTGGGCTCCTCCCTAGTACCCAGCTCCTTCTAGGGGCCTTGGCGCACCTGCTCTCTCAGGGGTCTCAGTGCTGCTCCCCCACCCCATGCCTGGCACCACCCATGGGGAAGGCAGGGTGACCACAGGAAAGTCCCCCAGGCAGAGGAGGGACAGAGGTTGCTCTGACCATCAGGGAGCACGTGGACAGGCCCTGAGCCACAGCTCAGCCAACAGGCACAGAGAGGGAAGGTCTCCTTGAACCCTAGAATCTGAGGACCAGGGAGCCCACAGCCATCTGACCACCAAGCAGTCCTCACTTGAGAGGACACACAGGACACCTACACCTTCACCCTGGGAACTTCAGGTCCTTCTGAGACACCTGGTCCTGGTCTCTGTGCGGGAAGCAAGGGCCAGGTGGGTGACAGGAGATAGAGAGGGGCTCCCCTCCCTGTCATCATTCAGCTGACCCCTTTCTCACCCCAGAGTCGCCTCTGTGGCCTTCCAGCTGGGAGGAAATCCAACCTTCCCAGTGCATTTGACAACACAGGGAAGACCCAGATGGGTTTCTGTGTCGAAAATGGAGTAATCCCCAGGTTTGGGGACACCTGGAGCTGTCTGTGTTGGTGACAGACCCAAAGCCTCTCCACAGCAGAGGCCAAGGCTGTGTGCAGAGTCTCAGGTCCACCGCACACCTGCCCAGTCAGAATCTGCATTTGAACAGGATCTGGAGACCCTCTCTGTGCACAGGAGGGGGGGGGGGTGCGGCTGCCCCACCCACACAGCATGGGTCTCAGCCTGGCGGGCATCCACCTTAGCTGGGCAGCTGCTGAAGCAGCGTTTCTATGGTGCCACCTGGGCATTGCAATCGTTACCAAGTTCCACAGGTGATTCTCACGCATGACGGGAGATGACATTCCTGTGACAAGAGTTCCTGATGCGGCCCCAGGCTCCTATTCTTAAGGGAAAAGTTCCAAGTGATGAAAGGGGGCTCTGGAGGATGTCTGAGACCCCGACACCCCAACATCCCAGCCTTGTGTTTGTTCTAACAGGACGTGTGTGTGTGTACGTGCGTGGTGGATAATCACAGCTAAAGAAACTGAAGCTTCAGCAGTTCCCAGGAAACAGAAATGTAGACAGAAGGAAAAGGGGAGGAGGGGACAGGGGACTCAAGAATGAGAGGGAAGGGAGAAGGAGAGTCCTAGGGATAGACGCCGCCCCCTCCCACGTGACCGGGAAGCATTCCTGCCCTGGGAGGAGGTTCAATGCACTGGAAGAAAGGACAGCAGATCCCACGCAACCAGAACAAAGGTGCCTGGGAGTGTTCCTGGGCCCAAGCTCTTCTCACAGAGGGAGGGACGGAACAGACAGCAGACACCATGGAGTCCCGCTCAGCCCCTGCGCACAGAGGGTGCGTCCCCTGGCAGGGGCTCCTGCTGGCTGGTAAGGAGGGGGCCATCCCTGGGGGTGGACAGGAGGAGGGGAGACAGAGACTGGCTGGGGTCTCCTGGGGAGCACAGCGCTCTGAGAGGGGACAGAGGGCTTCTGTTTGGACCTGAGGAGAGAGGACAGGGGAGCAGAGTAGGTTGGGGGAGGGGGCTCAGCAGCAGGACAAGCCCATGATCTGGAGGTGGTGAGGGACAGGAACACCTTGACTGCTGTGTGTTTTTAAAGTTAATAATTTCTGAACAATAAGTTTTAGAAACTGATGACAATGATCACAATTTATGTCAGGGGGCAAGAACTTAACCAGGGGTGCTAAATAGCATCCTCACCAGGAAGCTCAGAAATGGGCTGATACATCCCCAGAGGTGCAGGACCCTGCAGCACTCACTTATTCACCCACAGGTACTTACAGCCTGTTGCAGGCTCTGGGGTGCAACAAGATCAGACAAGTCCCTGCCCCCATGAAGCTCATGTTTTATGAGGAGGAGACAGACAAGGAAAGATCTAGATGTCATGTCAGGTCCCCGCAAGTGTCATGCAGGGAACAACCCAGGGACAGGTCAGAAAGTGAAGACAGAGGTCTTTAGAGAAGGTGATCAGGGAAGAGGTCTCCCAAAGACACTTCTGAGTGTCAGCAGTGATCTGAGGGCAGACACCTGGGTAACAGTATTCAAAACAGAGGAAATAACAGGTTCAGAGGTGCTGAAGTATTGGGCCATGCTGCTGAACTTGACTACAGGAGACACACACACATACTCAGACCAAGGCTGAGAGATGAAGAGACCTGCTCAGGACCTAAAACCTCATCTCTCCTTCCCAAAACATAGCTCCAAATCTTGATCAATTTCCCTCTTCCCTCCTAGCCTCACTCTTAACCTTCTGGAGCCTGCCCACCACTGCCCAGCTCACTATTGAATCAGTGCCGCCCAATGCTGCAGAAGGGAAGGATGTGCTTCTCCATGTCCACAATCTGCCAGGGTTTCTTGGAGGCTATGTCTGGTTCAAAGGGGAAAGTGTGGACAGCAACCATCAAATTGCATCATATATAATAGATACTCAAGAAATACACCCAGGACCTGCATACAGCAGTCGAGAGACAATATACCCCAATGGGTCCCTGCTGTTCCAGAACGTCACCCTGCAGGATACAGGGTACTACACTCTACTAGCCATAAAGAAAATTTTTCAAGGTGAAATAGTAACCGGACAGCTCCGTGTATACCGTGAGTGATTGCTCTCTGACCTCTAGGTGTTGGGTGGGTGAATTCTACTTCACACACAGGACTGCCAGCTCTGGACTCTCCTCCATCCCCCTCTGCATCATGTCCCAGGTTGGGTTTGGGCATTTAGTGCAGGACACACAGTGGAGACAAACTTCCTAAGATCAGAGTTCCCTTCCTGGATTCCAGCCCTGCAGACATTCTCCACAGAGAGAAGGGCCAGTCTGATGGGAGAGACTCAGCAGAGGGAGGATAATCTCATCCAGCCCCTGGGCCCCTCCCCATGACCATGACCCTGAGACAGGCTCTACAGCAGTGGTTCTCAACCTTCCTAATGCCACGACCCTTTAATACAGTTCCTCATGTTGTGGTGAACCCCAATTTCATTGTTACAAATTGAACATAATTAAAGCATAGTGATAAATCACAAAAGCAATATGTAATTATATGTGTGTTTTCCAATGGTCTTAGGCGACCCCTGTGAAAGGGTCGTTCGACCCCCAGGTTGAGAACCACTGTTCTACAGGGATCAGTCAGGGCATGGACTGAGGGGCCCCTAGGATCCTCACACAGAAGTTCAGCCCAGTCAGCCCCTCCCCAGACCTTTGATCCCAGGCTTCTGACTCCAGGGACCTTGGGGAGCCTGTGTCATGTTGGGTTTGGTCTGTGGGCAGGGCTGACTGGGAGCAATTACTTCCCAGGTGCCCAAGTTACAAGGCTCCTGAGCTGGTCACCAGCCAGAACTCATCCCCAAGAGCCACATCTGGGCAAGGACGGAACCTGGCCCTTCACCTGAGACTGTGTGTGGAGAGCACAGTTGGACAAGGTGGCCAGGTATTTGGCTAACTGCCCTGGGGGACTTAGAAGAGTCCAGGGAAAGGCCAGCATCCCCAGGGAGAACAGAGGGGAGAAGATGCTCCGGGGGCTCCTCGTTCACCAGGAATCACCCCAGGATTTAGGTCAGGTGCTGTGAATATTTTAGGGTTAATTCACTGACAACCTGGCAGCCAAATATTCATCCTCCTTCATTGAAAGGAAACCGAGGCACAGGGAAATATAGTCACTAAAGCAGAGTTCCACAGACCATGAGCAGCTGATCAGAGTCATCTGAGGTCTGTCTGCAGCCAGAGCCCCATCCTCTCCTCCACCCCAGGGCCCTATTAGGTGTCTGTGGTTCCCTAGACCAGTGGTCGGCAAACTCATTAGTCAACAGAGCCAAATATCAACAGTACAACGATTGAAATTTCTTTTGAGAGCCAAATTTTTTAAACTTAAACTATATAGGTAGGTACATTGTTATTAACTTAATTTAGGGTACTCCTAAGACTTAGGAAGAGCCACACTCAAGGTGCCAAAGAGCCACATGTGGCTTGCGAGCCCAAGTTTGCCAACCACGGCCCTAGACCAACTATTTGTTCAGATCCTTCCTTCTTATGCATCTTCAGCTCAGAGGGAGAGATTCTGGTCTGGGGAAGAAAAGGAAATGGAGAATTAATCTGTTTTTATGCTAAAACGAAATTACCTGCAGTAACAATCGGAGTCAGTGCTGGGAACACCCCGCCTTCCCCTCAGGTGGCTGATCCACCCCTCCCTGCACTGGTCTTGAAATCACTTATTTGTTTCCTGTGTGTTGGTGTCACTCCCACTGGATATACTAGGTGTACCGGTTAATAATGGCGGATTTTGTAATCAAAGAAAACACGATAATTTCTTTTTTTTAAATTGTTTTATTGCTTAAAGTATTACAAAGAGTATTACATATGTCTCCTTTTTTCCCCGCCCTTGACAATCCCCTAGCCTCCCCTACCCCCCAGTGTCTTATGTCCATTGGTTATGCTTATATGCATGCATCCAAGTCCTTGGATTGATCTCTTACTCCCCCTCATGCCCCCCAACCCTCCCCGGCCTTCCCACTGTAGTTTGACAGTCTGTTCAAGGCTGCTCTGCCTCTGTATCTATTTTTGTTCATAAGTTTATAATGGTCTTTATTATCCATAAATGAGTGAGATCATGTGGTATTTTTCCTTCATTGACTGGCTTATTTCACTTAGCATAATGCTCTCCAGTTCCATCCATGCTGTTGCAAATGGTAAGAATTCCTTCTTTTTTACAGCAGCATAGTATTCCATCGTGTAGATGTACCACCGTTTTCTAATCCATTCATCTACTGATGGGCACTTAGGCTGTTTCCAGATCTTAGCTATGGTGAATTATGCTGCTATGAACATAGGGGTGCATATATCCTTTCTGATTGGTGTTTCTGGTTTCTTGGGATATATTCCTAGAAGTGGGATCATGGGGTCAAATGGGAGTTCCATTTTTAGTTTTTTGAGGAAACTCCATACTGTCTACAATAGTGGCTGCACCAGTCTGCATTCCCACCAGCAGTGCACAAGTGTTCCTTTTTCTCCACATCCTCTCCAGTACTTGTCGTTTATTTGTTGATGATAGCCATTCTGACAGGTGTGAGATGGTACCTCATTGTTGCTTTGATTTGCATTTCTCAGATGATTAGTGACTTTGAGCATGTTTTCATATGTCTGTTGGCTTTCTGAATGTCCTCTTTTGAAAGGTGTCTATTTAGGTCCTTTGCCCATGTTTTGATTGGATTGTTTATCTTCCTTTTGTTAAGTTGTATGAGTTCCCTATAAATGTTGGAGATTAAACTTTTATCGGTGATAACATTGGCAAATATGTTTCCCCACACAGTGGGCTTTCTTGTTTTGTTGATGGTTTCTTTTGCTGTGCAGAAACTTTTTATTTTGATGTAGTCCCATTTGTTCATTTTCTCTTTAGTTTCCAATGCCCTAGGAGCTGTATTGGTGAAGAAATTGCTTCGGCATATGTCTCTCTGAGATTTTGTTGCCTTTGGATTCCTCTAGTATTTTTATGGTTTCCCATCTTACATTTAAGTTCTTTATCCATTTTGAATTTATTTTTGTGTATGGTGTAAGTTGGTGGTCTAGTTTCATTTTTTTGCATGTATCTGTCCAATTTTCCCAACACCATTTATTGAAGAGACTATCTTGGCTCCGTTGTATGTTCTTGCCTCCTTTGTCAAATATTAATTGAGCATATTGGTTCGGGCCAATTTCTGGGCTCTCTATTCTATTCCATTGATCTATATGTCTGTTCTTGTGCCAGTACCAGGCAGTTTTGAGAACAGTGGCTTTGTAATACAGCTTGATATCTGGTATTGAGATCCCACCTACTTTGTTTTTTTCTCAGGATTGCTGCAGCTATTCGGGGTCTTTTTTTATTCCAGATGAATTTCTGGAGAGTTTGTTCTAGGTCTGTGAAATATGCCATTGGTATTTTAATGGGAAGTGCGTTGAATTTATAGATTGCTTTAGGTAGTATGCACATTTTAATGATGTTGATTCTACCAATCCAAGAACATGGTATGTTCTTCCATCTGTTTATGTCTTCCTCTATCTCTTTTTTTCAATGTCCTGTAGTTTTCTTTTTTTTTTTTTTTTTTTTTTTTATTGCTTAAAGTATTACAAAGGGTATTACATATGTGTCCATTTTATCCCCCCGCCCTAGACAGTCCCCTAGCCTCCCCTATCCCCCAATGTCTTATGTCCACTGGTTATGCTTCTATGCATGCATACAAGTCCTTTAGTTGATCTCTTACCCCCCTACCTCCTGCCCCGCAACCCTCCCCGGCCGTCCTGCTGCAGTTTGACAATCTGTTTGAGGCAGCTCTGCCTCTGTATCTATTATTGTTCAAAAGTTTATAATGGTCTCTATTATCCATGAATGAGTGAGATCATGTGGTATTTTTCCTTCATTGACTGGCTTATTTCACTTAGCATAATGCTCTCCAGTTCCATCCATGACGTTGCAAATGGTAAGAGTTCCTTCCTTTTTAGAGCAGCATAGTATTCCATCGTGTAGATGTACCACAATTTTCTAATCCATTCATCTACTGATGGGCACTTAGGCTGTTTCCAGATCTTAGCTATGGTGAATTGTGCTGCTATGAACATAGGGGTGCATATATCCTTTCTGATTGGTGTTTCTGGTTTCTTGGGATATATTCCTAGAAGTGGGATCACAGGGTCAAATGGGAGTTCCATTTTCAGTTTTTTAAGGAAACTCCATACTGTCTTCCATAGTGGCTGCACCAGTCTGCATTCCCACCAGCAGTGCACAAGTGTTCCTTTTTCTCCACATCCTCTCCAGCACTTGTCGTTTGTTGATTTGTTGATGATAGCCAGTCTGACAGGTGTGAGATGGTACCTCATTGTTGTTTTGATTTGCATCTCTCGGATGATTAGTGACTTTGAGCATGTTTTCATATGTCTCTTGGCTTTCTGAATGTCCTCTTTTGAAAGGTGTCTATTTAGGTCCTTTGCCCATTTTTTGATTGGATTGTTTATCTTCCTTTTGTTAAGTTGTATGAGTTCCCTATAAATTTTGGAGATTAGGCCCTTATCGGATATGACATTGGCAAATATGTTTTCCCACACAGTGGGTTTTCTCGTTGTTTTGTTGATGGTTTCTTTTGCTGTGCAGAAGCTTTTTATTTTGATGTAGTCCCATTTGTTCATTTTCTCTTTAGTTTCAAGTGCCCTAGGAGCTGTATCAGTGAAGAAATTGCTTCGGCATATGTCTGAGATTTTGTTGCCTTTGGATTCTTCTAGAATTTTTATAGTTTCCTGTCTTACATTTAAGTCCTTTATCCATTTTGAGTTTATTTTTGTGTATGGTGTAAGTTGGTGGTCTAGTTTCATTTTCTTGCATATATCTGTCCAATTTTCCCAGCACCATTTATTGAAGAGACTATCTTGGCTCCATTGTATGTTCTTGCCTCCTTTGTCAAATATTAATTGAGCATATTGGTTCGGGCCGATTTCTGGGCTCTCTATTCTATTCCATTGATCTATATGCCTATTCTTGTGCCAGTACCAGGCAGTTTTGAGAACAGTGGCTTTGTAATACATCTTGATATCTGGTATTGAGATCCCACCTACTTTGGTCTTTTTCAGGATTGCTGC